AAGGAAGACATTTGGGATGCTGAAAGTCTTGCAGAGACCGTCGACAGACCCAACGAGGCGGGAGACGACACGCAGTTCAAGATGGTTAGTTGGGAAGTTTTGACTTGGTCAAGCTGTCACTGAAAGCTGCAATTTGCTTATTTTATTTTGCCTTCATTAGTGTCATGCTATCTTGCATTATGTTCATGGCGTAAAATCTTTGATTTGAAGTGAATGTGTATTCTGCATCGACAGAGTTGAAGTCATAAGCTATGCTGATTAACCCTAACACTCCTCAGTCCTCCAACCGGTGAAGGATTGAGGAGGGTTAGGGTTAACCCATATTACTGGACAAGCTCAAGCTATATTGCTGCTCTAAAGTGAACATTAAAATCTTCCTCACAATTGGTTCGGAACAAGTGCATAAATCAGCGTAAATTAACAAAGAATAAATTAATCCACCTGATATTTATGTTAAGTTGAAAGACCTGAGAAAGTACACCAAGCGTGCAGTAAACTTTCCGTGTGTTTTGCTCGAAGAAAATTCTAATGTGATGTCCTGAATTACCACAAAAACAATTTTGACTTTCCTTCTTGGTGAAGTGAAAAGAGTCATAGACACTAGACCTCCCACTCCTTTTCCTAAAACTTCAAAACTCGTGACACAGTCTGACCGATCCCTAAACTATCAGGCCGCAACATTTCACTGAATGCCCCACCAATAATGATCATTCGTGACTCACTGTATCGACGTACAGGAGACGAGGCTAGTTTGTTTCAGGACCCTTGTGATCATGCGAATTATTCTCATCGCAGGATGGTGTAGGAGAAGGTGATAAAGACTGCGTCAAGGATGCGGGAGACGAGAAGAAGGATGCGGTCAAACACGAGATGGCCGACAAGCTGGACTCGCTGATGAGCACCATGATGGTGTATGTCAGGGATACATGCTTCAAAAATGGTAGAAGGATACTTTCAGGGCAAATTGGATGGGATGGGGGTAGTCAGGGTGGCTAACCATTCCCTTTCCTACCGACCACTGTCAGTTTTTTTGACTAGGCAGAGTGATCTTTTTTTACACTGCCCACGAACAATCGCAGGAAATGCAATTATCAGAAAATTAAAAAACATGCCATGAAAATGAGTAGAAAATTGAGGGGAGTGGTTTTGTCGTGGGAAAAATGATTCTTTAAACAACTTTTTCACCCTCCTGTTCAAAAAGTTGCTAACAGTAAAAAAAGTACTCCACTTCCCCTGCTTCTCTACACATTACATGTTACCAATTTTAACTGGAAGGACAGCTTTGTCCAGAATGTGAATTTGCATTTGAAGGTGGATCTGTGGACTACTTCGTCATTTTATGCTGCATAGCTGACACATGCTTGAGCTCCACCAGTAAAAGGCCGGGGTACATGCATGGAGTAGTTTACGCACACATGAAAGACGCCTCAGATTGTTTTAGCAGAGTGCACGTACTGGTACAGTGTGTGCACAGTGGTACTTGCTGCGCAGTGGCACTTGCTGCACAGTGGCAGAGGTCTCACTCTTTGTCATATTTGGTACGGTGCTGAAGGCAGGTCCATCATAGTCGGGCATTCTTTTCACAGGTCACAGGTCAGTCACAAGTCAGTTCATTAGTCGAGTTGGGTTACAACGGACGAACAACGACAAAGGAATGCCTTTTTTTCACAGCTCATTTGTGAAGCCCGGAACTTGAGCAAAAAGTAGACGTTTTGAGATAGACCTGTGAGGACTTGGATAACTTCTTATTGTTTGTGATGGACTAAACTCCGGCATTTGTTGAGAGGGCTCCCTTTCGCCCAGGTTCATCCCGCCTGTTCTATTAATCTGTTTCCAATTATCCTCCATCAGACGAGTTCCAGTTAGAGGAAGCAAGACTCCTTCACAAGCATCTCCTGCAAGTCTTTGATAAGGTCATCCTACCCACCCATGCCTCCAGCCATGTCCAGTTTCTGCTCTTCTACTTTTGTAGTTTCAGACAGGTAAGGAATTTCAAAAAGTCCTCCACCTCCCGCGTTAGTGGCAAGCTAAGCTCGAGTGTGACATACTTGAGTAGATGTGTGTTAGACTGTTGGCATTTCTACTTGTGTTGCAGGCCAATCATTGAAATGTGCACAAACTGAATTGAGTCAGTCCAGATAGCGAAATATTCAAGCATGAACATGTTCAGTGAGAGTGGGCCTACTCCGCTGATGGGACCAACCTCGTGAGCGTGTATTGCTCTTCTGAGATGACCTTCGATGGGCATGTACTTAGCTCAGCACTCTCATGATTTCATTACACATGGTCTAAATATGAAATCGCCATATTGTCCTTCATCAAAGGTACTGCTTACTTCACAAGGGATATCTATTATAACTGATATTTTATTGGTACTTGATATTTCAAGTAATCTTGAAGAAAGACAAATGAACAAATGTTTGTATATGAATTGAGTAAGAACCAGTGAATTGGTCAAGGTAAGTGGCTGTTTTGAAGGAGTGATACTGGACATCACTTACATCCTGGCTAATGAATAATTGGCTGGAGTAACAAGTTTTTACGAGGCTTATTAGCTCATCGACAGATATTTTGATCAAATCGGTGGCAGAATTTTCCTCCTCAAGTTCTGGGCATGTACCTCATTAGTAATAAGGAGGTCTTTGTGTGAAAAATTATCAGTCGAATGCAAAAAACTTCTACCATCTCGCATAATCTTAAAATGAAATAAATGTATCTAGCTAAGAATGCCATCTGTTAAACTTGTTTTCATGCAGGCAATCATAGATGCATTTCTGGAGTTTCTATGGAAACGTTTCACCAATCCAAACACCCCGGCCGTACTGCGTCAATCCTCTGCATCCTACATAGCAAGCTTTGTCTCCAGGGCAGATTACCTCCCTCTCAGGTACGCACATCGGGTCATCCTACTGTCAAATCATCCTACTGTCAAATCCAAAAGCCGGCGTAGCTTGTAGGGCATGCTGTGAAACCTGTAAGATGTTATCACAAGAGGGCTTTTGTATTGCAGTGTCCTAAAGAGCCGCACAGTGCACATGTGGATTGCAGTGAAGTGAGTCAGCGACTCCACTCGCTTCCCTGGAGTCAAGCATTTGTGATGGAATGGTTGAGAAATGCAGAGATTGTAGGGTGTTTACAGCGACAGTGAAAATGTTCCACTTCCCTCATTCTGATCTATTATCCACCTAACAGCACCGCAGTAATGTGGCCTTACCAACACCACAATGTAATCACCGATGCATGGAGTGAACAAAATGCCAAGTGTAGTGTCTTGTTAATCCTTTCCCCACAGCGACTCATTGTGAGAAACAGGAGAGCTGATTGTGCTGGAATAATTGATTGACATATTTTATTCACTGTCACAAACTTGTGGGTTAAATCAGCAGATACATGCAAGCAATACTCCTGTTTTTAATTTTGTTCTCCCAGTACTGTCACAGCGTGCTTAGACCTGTTGTCGGGCTGGCTTCATTCCTACATTGACAATCAGGAGGTGAATAGCAGACTTCAGCAGGATGTGTGTGTACATGGGCCATTCTACTCCCTCTGTCAGGTTGGTTGATTGATTGGAAAGCGTCAGTACTGTTTCATTGTGTGAATCTGCCAGCGTTGTAGTCAAATTCATCGTACTTCCTTTGGAAAGTGTCTTCACAAATTGGATCACAAGTCCTTTCACAAGACCAGTCGTAAGAAACGGTGAACAATGACAACGGAATGCTTTTTCATGGTTCATTTGAATAGCTTGTGACTTGACGTAATCACTGGATGCCTTGTTGGGGACTTGACTGCAATACTGGCATTGGCTATCTTTTACACAAGGGCTTTCTTTTACACAAATAAGTATTTGACACTTTTCCAGCAACTGGTTGTCTTCATTGTGAATCTGAGTCAAGAGGCAAGTTTATTTGTATTCCCATTTTTAATGAATTTGTCATACAAGAACAATATCCCATGAAAATGACTTTGGCCCCTAGTTTGCTATGTGAGATCAAGTTTACAGTATCTCTCCTGTAATTTTTTTTTTCCCTATCATGAAAAGACTGCTGAACCACTGGCTGCCGGGTGTTTTTAAAAAATGCAATGCACACATACAGGTCATTTTCAAGATTTTCAGTTTTCAAAATTCTTCAAAAATTCATCATTTCATTTAATGCACTTTTACACCCACATGAATGACTGATTTGTGGCTACTCTAGCTGACAGGCAACCTTCATTGACCCCTGAGTATTTCAGCCAGGCCTGCCGCCCTGCAAAAAGATTGCCCAGAATTGTGAGGTGTTGCGTAATTTCCTTTGTTCCCAGTGAATGCGAGTGGCGTCTTTTCAAACGCGGCTGGATTAGTGTGCAGCGGTGCTGTGTTGCTCATCATTGGAGCCCTGGAGTACTTTTGTCTGCGGTACCAATCCGTGGACACGCTATGCCCAAAACAGTAGTATACTGTTTAAAACAGTGACGGATTACCTTCGAAAAATGCTAGCTAAAAAATAATGGCAATTCCCAGCAGCAGGTTTTTTGTTCTGAGTACTGTCTTTTGTTCAACAGACCAGCTTTTTTGTGCAATTTTGGGCAGCCCGGCTCTGCATATCAACCCACGGTGCTCGAAACGGGGTTCCCCGGCAGCAAGTGGTTAAAATATTTTGCTGTAAGTTCATGCGATTTCATGCCTTTACTTTCTTTTCCAGGCTGTGTTTTACATTTTCATCTTTCGACACCGCCAGCTTCTTGCTGACAACAAGGGACTTCACTACGTGATGGGGCTGAACCTGGAACGCGTCGTCACCTGCAGATTAAACCCCCTTAGGGTTTGTCTGCCATCCATCGTCAACATGTTTGCCACTCTGACCAGGTGAGGGGCGAGGTTGAGTTTTACATCTCACGATCTTGTGACCTCAGCGTTGTTTTCGTCCTGTCGTAGTTGTGTTGCCTCGGAAACAGGTCGGCTCCCTTTTGGTTCAGTTTCATGTCACTGTGGGTTATCAGTCTGATTCCCTGGAGCTGGAAAGCACGCAGGAGCAGAAATTATGAGCAGAAGCAGAATACCAGTGAAAATGCAATGATTGGAGACCGTTTTGCAAGTCGGTTTTTACGAAGCACATAAATCTGTAGCAGTGTAGTTACTCTTATCATCTCTGTGAGATTAGGCCCTCTTTGCCAAGCCATGCCAGCTTTCCTGGCATCCTGTATTGGATGTCTTGAGCTGAACTTGCATTTTACTACAGTAGATTCCCGTTATAGCGCTCCCTGATATAATGCTCTTACCGATGTAACGCTCAATTTTCATTTCCCCATCTGCACGCCCATTCACTGTGTGCATTTTTATGTGGTTATACCGCTTCTGTTTGCAACGCTTTTCCGGATATAACGGTCACGATTTTCGGCTCCCAGAACCATATAAAGCATGTGACATGATTCCAGTTACAGCACTCTTTACCTTGGAAAATCAGATTTTTTGAAAATCAACACATATGAAACCACATCGCAAGGCCACCGCACCACAATTGGCTGGCCATCCTGGACACCAGTAGTTTAGCGATCACACAGAGTACGGCGCGATCGCGAGCACTTGCTCACCACGTTGAGCCGCGGCTGCATGGCTTTACTGTGGCGTCATTGTAGTGATTATTTCCCACTTTTTATTTATTCTCATGGTGTAATTTGGGACACAGAATAATCAACATTGAGATACTACATGTGGTATTTTGTTACCTAAAGGTTTCTTTCCCTCGATAAATAAAATCAGCGGCTTAAATTGTATGTGTATTTTCGTGTAGCAGATCTCGTCTTTTCGCCGATTGTGTTTGCCGTGACATGCCGGGTCTGTTTTCACTTGGGTTTTCTGATGAAGTATCACTTTCTGTGGTCACATGGTTATTTGGGAAAAGTCAGTGATTGGACTGTCCATGAATGGGTACGCAGTAGCAGTCCAGGATGTCCCGGTGGGTGAAGATGCAGTACATGTGCCGCGATGCAGCATGCATGAGGTCCCGTGGCAGTTTTTGAAGAGTTTTTTTTTTATCGGCGTCACAAAAACGTCGAGATAAAAAAACAAGGCATGTACTTCGAATATTACGGTACATACATCTGCCAATACATGTAAACGAAATTCACATACATGACATACATGTATATGTGGATACATGAATCTATACATGTACATAGCAATACATGTGCGTTGTACATGTTGCGCGTCCATCCAGTAGGCTACAGCGCTGTGCGGTTGTAATGCTCAATTCTGTTAGGTCCCCTTGAGAGCGCTATAACGGGAATCTAATGTAACACCTGTGCTTCTAATGAGTGTCACCAGTCCACAAAAGTTTTGGGCCAGTCATTCCTGAGGAAATCTGTGCTCTTGAGATGTTGTCATTTCTTAGCTTGTGGGAATATTATCAAGACTTGCAAAGATGGATTTGAATTGTGGCATTTGTGCTTGAATTTGGTCAAGATGTGCTCCACCCACATATCTTGATTATGTGTACGGCACAGACAGCAAAGACGGAAGGAAGCAGCTTAAGTCATATAAACAGCTCTCGTTTGTAGGGCTCTGTCTTTCTTCCCAACAGATTATCAGTCAGTCCAAAGGTTATATCAGAGATTTTCAGCTCTCAACACGAGAGGGCTTTTCTTTCTTTCTGTCTTAAAGATGTAATTTGGCAGTGCTTTTTGTTTCAATATCAGTGTAGAATTCCATTAAATATAAATTCAAATCTTTACTCTTAATGTTGATAAACACTTCGATAATGCAACATAAAAATTGCCTTTAGATACAAATTGAAGAATGGACCACCAAGGCTATTTATTAGCTTTGAAAGTCAACCATCAGCAGTGATTTTTACAGGAACTGACTTGCTGCATTTTTCAGGAAATACCAGATAGCATATTGCTACACGATCATTGAGCGGAACAACAGATCGCTGCACCAGGTAGCCAAGCTACATTCCAGCGGCTCAGCCACACAACCCTCTACAAATTCACTGGATTCGTTCTTCCCTTTCGACCCCTACTTACTGCCGAGGTGAGATGGCCATGCCCCTAACTTCCACTCAGTAATAAGCTTACCCCACATTGATTTGGGATGGAATCGGGAAGGGCTAAGTTTGTACTTCATGTGTAATTGAAAAACAATCAAATTTTGTTTTTGTATGTTAGTATCACCGTTTCATTCAAATGTACTTTTCCCTAAAAGTCCAATTTTAATTTTATTTAGCATTTTATTTCCTCCAGGTCAGGGAAATTTGTCCAGTCCTTGTACAGACAGTGGGAAGGATGTAAACCTGACGAAGACACTTCCAAGGTAGGGGAAGGCTTCAATATTCAATCTGTTGGGGAGATCAGGGGTGTGGTGTGCTCTCAGCTATGCTTGAATTTAGTCGAGATTCAGTACATGTGCTGCATACATGCATCCTGGTCATGTGGTACGACACAGACAACATCAAGAAGAGATGGCTAGTCAAGAGATGGCTAGTCAGGTTCTTCAACTACAGGAAAATCTTCTTAGAGTGTTCAGTGGAAGAAAGTTGTTGACATTCTGCAGACTTTGTATATACTCAACATTTACTTTCTAAAAACTTTCCTTTTCCAAACTTTCCTTTTCCATTTTCTCTAAGCTTGAATCCTGTCCAGCAATCAAAATTGCTCTCCCAATAGTTTTGTTTAGGAGTATGGCTTTGAAATCCATCATTTTCTATTTTATATACCGTATCCTGGATTTTTTCCTTGGATACATCATTGCTGCCTTTTGTTTATGCCGTGCTTAATTTAACTTGAAGACCCTACAGTGATTATACATGTTTGCTGTAGAAGTAAATCGGTCTGGATTTTTGTTGTGCTGTTCTCTCTACAGAGGGAGGAGGAAGAGGATGAATTTGTGCAATATGAAGAGTGGGACAAGGACCTCCCCCTGGGAATCACACCTACAACTGCGGCCTGCATCTCCCCAGGGTTCAGGAGCTGAGGATGGGTAGGCTTGTGAGAGGCAAAGGGCACCGAAAAGTTTGAATGTCATGTAAATAGATCTGGCACAAAAGATCATCAATTTATAATATTATTTTATTCATTGCCGTATTGGGCACCATTTGTTTCCTTTTTACTATTTTTTGAACCAGTGTACTTGAAGAAAATGTGCTTGTGAAGACCTTTTTATCACAGGTTGTAGCATTTTCATGAAATAGCTCTTGCACTAATGCTCGATGCCTGATAGTTTTTGCTACAAAAAGCAGCGACTGTCTGGATCTGTCGTGGTCTGTGATACATGTGGAAATGAATTAGTGGGAGTGACCCTTCTGGTTATTTCAGGGGGGAACTATTTTGGGAAAGACTGGAAAGCTACCAGAAAACACTGGAAAACATTGGGAGAAATATCAGAAAAATCTGCAAAGATTTCTGGACAGTACTAGAAAACTAGCAGTGCTAAAAAAAAAAAATCCAATGAACCTGTAGAGAAATGTGGGAAGGCAACTTGAACACCAATGCAAAGTCAGACGACTGTCTCTGCTTTGAAGTTGGCGTTGTAAGCAGGAAGAGTCGCCTAGCACTGCCAGCTGCTTTGCATCTCATGCATGTCATTTGGGAGCGTGGCAAGCCATACCACTTTCTGTGGCCAGCGAATTGGCAGTGCCTTCACACTGGGAATTTATTAGAATTATTTACCTTCCTGACAACATTCCATTTTGTCTGGTCAGGAGATTTCCACTGAAGATTGGGAACTCTATGTCACTGTCATTTGTGGGTGATGAGTCGGAAGCATCATGTCGTTTGGGAGCTTGGGTTGTCTTTTGAACATCAGGAAGCAGTAAGAATATCCCCCATTACCTTGTGCATGGTGCTGTTTGCACGAGTCAGCTTTTAGCATGCAATGCCAAGGCCCTCTTCGCCATCTTCTTCAGGATACCAAACATGGACAGGAGTGGAGGATTGAATTTCTTCGTGCCCTGTTAATTGTAATTTGATTCAGTAAAAATATTCTGAAATTCTAGTTTATAGTCAGATTTGCAAACTGTAAACAGGTGGCCCTTGTGACTTTGACTTTGTTATATTTTCTTTACATGGATCAAAATCTAACTTGCTTTTTGAGATTAAGAGACAACTAGTGCGAGGTCACTTTTGGGGGGAACCACTGTGCGATTCATGGTTAGTATGCAAAATTCCTTTTAAGTTTTCATTTTTGCCAATACAAAGGGTAAGCATTATCTGGCATTTTTTTAATGTTCTAAGCTGCGCAGGAAGCCTTTTCAAAACGTTTGAATGGAAGAACTTCAAGAAGTACCCCCGATGAGAAAATCAGATTCAAAATAGTTCCATCTCTTCAAATGTTTTTAAATGTTAAAAAGTTCACTTAATGATGTAAAGACTTAGCAGCATGGCTAACAATGTAACTTTTCTTGAATGTGGAATGTACTATAACTTTGCAGGACAACTGCAAATAGCCTTGTTATGAGCCTTGCCGGCAAAGGCGTTGAATAGATACATGTATGTCTAGACATAAGCTCTTTGTTGACTTTTTGTTCTTCTCAACCATGTCAACATGTTTTCAGTGTCCTTTTTAACAAAGGCACATCTGGTAAAAATGTAATTTTTATGTACAAATGGGCACCAAAGTAAATTTAAATAATCCAAAGCAAAAAAGTACTCCGTACACTACAAATCTGTAAGACATCACAACGGAAGCTATCAAATTTACACATATACATGGTCATATTTACAAATAGTTTATATCAATATACACTCAAACCTCAAAGGCACAGCAAACGGAAGTACTATTTGAAAGAACTGCATTCACCTCAGTATTTAAAGGCATTGAAGCCAGAACTTTTTCTGCACACCTTTCAATAAAAAATACTATTACATTTCAATAACATCAATTTTTTTTAATTTCAAGAAAGTTTGTCGACTTAGAAAAAAAAAATGACTAACTCTTACTTTGCCCAACTTTCCCACACTTGCAGCATTTTCATGTGAGTAATCAAGTGCTATTGAAAAGTTTTTTGAATGTACAAACTTTCAGATAACCAGTGGGAACATGTCTGGCATAAAAATACACAAAAGCACAGCAGATCCTAAAATTTCTGTATTGATGACATTGATGACATTACACCCAGGCTGTCCCTGCTATATGGTCACCTCCCACACCAAGATCTGATTGTGTGCCACAGTGAAGGCAAGCTTGCCAGAGGGAGTGAAGCGAACTAGCTGAACAGCATCATTGTGGGCCACAAAATCTTGGAAACTGCTTTCGTGGTAGTCGACCAATTTGATCAAGCGCTCTGTAAAAAAACACCAAATGAAGTTGGCGTTGATGTAATTATTAATATGAAAAAATAATTTCACATACATGTGGTTTATATGACACGTTCTACCATCAGATGGCTTTCATTCTAAGCAGATCATCAAATTTAATCAGTTTTGAGGATATCACCCGATTAAGCGCCTCACACTCAGTGATTTACTGAGTTTCCAGGGTGTCACCCGATTAAGCGCCC